TGGTCTCTGCCTTTGTGCGCCAACGTCCATCCTCAGACACTGTGGGCCCTGTGCGCTCGCGTTCCGCTGCCATGGCAGCAGGGGAGGGGGGTGGGGTGGTAGGAGCAGCAGTGGCAGCTCCACCAGCAGCGGCTGCCTCAGTCTGCAGTCGATGATGAGTAGCTTTCTTCACCAGCGCAGTGAGGAAAAACTACTAACCAGCCGCAGCAGCAGCAGCAGCAGCATCAGGGCATCAGGTGGACCTGGAGCAGGACCTCAAACAACAGGCTTGGGCCTACTTGGACAGCACCCTGCCAACCGAGGTAGACAATCCCCTTGACTACTGGGCAACGAAACTTGACCTTTGGCCCCAACTAGCTGAATTTGCCCTTGAAAGGCTGTCATGCCCGGCCAGTAGCGTGGCATCGGAGCGCGTGTTTTTGCGGCAGGAGGTATTGTAACTCCGCGGAGGACACGACTGTCCACCCAAAGTGTGGAGAGAGAGACTCACGTTTGTGAAAATGAATCAGGCGTGGATTAGTCTGGATTTCAAACCACCAGTTCCTGACACAACTGACTAAATCCGCCATGAATCATGCCTCAAACAAATGTGCCACTTTCAGGTCTCCTCACACACTGCTGGTGTGTTCCATTTTTTGTCATAGGGTGCTGGCAGATTACGGGCCTCCCATAGCTGCTGCCAGGCCCCTAATCTGCCATGGGCCCCTATATACCGCCTCCTCATGCTGCTGCCAGTCCAGAGTCTGTCATGGGTCCCTGTACGGCCTCCCATTGCTGCTGTCTCCATCGCCACACTCTGCCATGTGCCACTTTCAGGTCTCCTCACACACTGCTGGTGTGTTCAATTTTTTGACATAGGGTGCTGGCAGATTACGGGCCTCCCATAGCTGCTGCTGCCAGGCCCCTAATCTGCCATGGGCCCCTATATACCGCCTCCTCATGCTGCTGCCAAGTCCAGAGTCTGTCATGGGTCCCTGTACGGCCTCCCATTGCTGCTGTCTCCATCGCCACACTCTGCCATGTGCCACTTTCAGGTCTCCTCACACACTGCTGGTGTGTTCCAATTTTTTGACATAGGGTGCTGGCAGATTACGGGCCTCCCATATAGCTGCTGCCAGGCCCCTAATCTGCCATGGGCCCCTATACCGCCTCCTCATGCTGCATGCTGCCAGGTCCAGAGTCTCTCATGGGTCCCTGTACGGCCTCCCATTGCTGCTGTCTCCATCGCCACACTCTGCCATGTGCCACTTTCAGGTCTCCTCACACTGCTGGTGTGTTGAATTTTTTGACATAGGGTGCTGGCAGATTACGGGCCTCCCATAGCTGCTGCCAGGCCCCTAATCTGCCATGGGCCCCTATTATACCGCCTCCTCATGCTGCTGCCAGGTCCAGAGTCTGTCATGGGTCCCTGTACGGCCTCCCATTGCTGCTGTCTCCATCGCCACACTCTGCCATGTGCCACTTTCAGGTCTCCTCACACACACTGCTGGTGTGTTCCAATTTTTTGACATAGGGTGCTGGCAGATTACGGGCCTCCCATAGCTGCTGCCAGGCCCCTAATCTGCCATGGGCCCCTATATACGCCTCTCCTCATGCTGCTGCCAGGTCCAGAGTCTGTCATGGGTCCCTGTACGGCCTCCCATTGCTGCTGTCTCCATCGCCACACTCTGCCACATGTGCCACTTTCAGGTCTCCTCACACACTGCTGGTGTGTTGAATTTTTTTGACATAGGGTGCTGGCAGATTACGGGCCTCCCATAGCTGCTGCCAGGCCCCTAATCTGCCATGGGCCCCTATATACCGCCTCCTCATGCTGCTGCCAAGTCCAGAGTCTGTCATGGGTCCCTGTACGGCCTCCCATTGCTGCTGTCTCCATCGCCACACTCTGCCATGTGCCACTTTCAGGTCTCCTCACACTGCTGGTGTGTTGAATTTTTTGACATAGGGTGCTGGCAGATTACGGGCCTCCCCATAGCTGCTGCCAGGCCCCTAATCTGCCATGGGCCCCTATATACCGCCTCCTCATGCTGCTGCCAGGTCCAGAGTCTGTCATGGGTCCCTGTACGGCCTCCCATTGCTGCTGTCTCCATCGCCACACTCTGCCATGTGCCACTTTCAGGTCTCCTCACACACTGCTGGTGTGTTAATTTTTTGACATAGGGTGCTGGCAGATTACGGGCCTCCCATAGCTGCTGCCAGGCCCCTAATCTGCCATGGGCCCCTATATACCGCCTCCTCATGCTGCTGCCAGGTCCAGAGTCTGTCATGGGTCCCTGTACGGCCTCCCATTGCTGCTGTCTCCATCGCCACACTCTCTGCCATGTGCCACTTTCAGGTCTCCTCTCACACTGCTGGTGTGTTGAATTTTTTGACATAGGGTGCTGGCAGATTACGGGCCTCCTATAGCTGCTGCCAGGCCCCTAATCTGCCATGGGCCCCTATATATACCGCCTCCTCATGCTGCTGCCAGTCCAGAGTCTGTCATGGGTCCCTGTACGGCCTCCCATTGCTGCTGTCTCCATCGCCACACTCTGCCATGTGCCACTTTCAGGTCTCCTCACACCTCACTGCTGGTGTGTTGAATTTTTTTGACATAGGGTGCTGGCAGATTACGGGCCTCCCATAGCTGCTGCCAGGCCCCTAATCTGCCATGGGCCCCTAACCCCTATACCGCCTCCTCATGCTGCTGCTCCCAAGTCCAGAGTCTGTCATGGGTCCCTGTACGGCCTCCCATTGCTGCTGTCTCCATCGCCACACTCTGCCATGTGCCACTTTCAGGTCTCCTCACACACTGCTGGTGTGTTTAATTTTTTTGACATAGGGTGCTGGCAGATTACGGGCCTCCCATAGCTGCTGCCAGGCCCCTAATCTGCCATGGGCCCCTATATACCGCCTCCTCATGCTGCTGCCAGGTCCAGAGTCTGTCATGGGTCCCTGTACGCCTCCTGGCCTCCCATTGCTGCTGTCTCCATCGCCACACTCTGCCCATGTGCCACTTTCAGGTCTCCTCACACACTGCTGGTGTGTTCCAATTTTTTTTGACATAGGGTGCTGGCAGATTACGGGCCTCCCATAGCTGCTGCCAGGCCCCTAATCTGCCATGGGCCCCTATATACCGCCTCCCTCATGCTGCTGCTGCTGCCAGGTCCAGAGTCTCTCATGGGTCCCTGTACGGCCTCCCATTGCTGCTGTCTCCATCGCCACACTCTGCCATGTGCCACTTTCAGGTCTCCTCACACACTGCTGGTGTGTTCCCTAATTTTTTGACATAGGGTGCTGGCAGATTACCGAGGGCCTCCTATAGCTGCTGCTGCCAGGCCCTAATCTGCCATACGGGCCCCCGTATATACCGCATGCCTGTGACTGCTGCCAAGGTGGCCAGAGTCTCTCATGGGTCCCTGTACGGCCTTTACTCCCATTGCTGCTGTCTCCATCGCCACACTCTGCCTGATGTTAAAAGCCATTTCAGGTACTCCCTGTGTAACTTACTGTCAGCCATTGGCAGCTCATGTTGACACCTTTTTGACTCAGGCCCTTTGAGGATTACGGGCCTCGCTATTCTGTGCCAGGCCCCTAATCTGCCATGGGCCCCTATGAACGACGTCATTCCTCTGTTGCTGTCCTGGAACCAAATGTCTGTTAACATGGGTGGTCAGGGCCTGCCATAGCTGCTGGCGCCATCAGATCTCAACGCCACATGACCCCATGGGGGCAGGACAGGGAAGAAGAGGAGGTCCAGGTAGAGGAGGACATTTGTGCATCAGGGAATTATGAGTGACGGGCCTCATGGGTGTGTTGAATTTTTCCACTCAGCGGACAGGAGGGAGGAGCAGGAGCTCCCATCTGCCAGGAGGAGGAAAGGAGACAGAGGACCCAGATACGCCTCCTCATGGCTGCCAGTATGCTGTGGAGATGGATGGGCAGGGACGTCCCTCGCATTCCTTGGCACAAATCCATGGCCCATAGCATGCTCGCTTGCTTGCAGGTCTCTCACACATGCCCGAATAATAACCATCAGACAGAGGGATGACAGATTACGGCTGTCCCTTGTGCTGCCCTCCCTAATCTGCCATGGTGGCCTTTTTCACACCTCCTGAGAGGGAGGCCAAAATAAGAGTACTACTATAAAAACCACCTATGTACAGGCCTCCCATTGCCTGTGCTGTCTCCAACGTCCATCCTCAGACACTGTGGGCCACTTTCAGGTCTCCTCACACTGCTGGTGTGTTCAATTTTTTGACATAGGGTGAGGGTGTGGGCCTCCCATAGCTGGTAGGGAGCAGTGGCAGCTCCACCAGCAGCGGCTGCCTCATGGGCCGTATGCCTGCCATGTGGCCACTGTTTGTTTTAGTCAGTATGATGCCATGGGTAGCCCTATGCCTCTCATGCTGCAAGTAGCTTGTCTTCCCTGTACGGCAGTGCTGAGCCATCCGCAGCAGCAGCAGCAGCAGCATGTTTGGCATGGGCCCTGGAGCAGGACTCCTCAAACAACAGGCTGGGGCCTAATTTTTTGACAGCACCCTGCCAACCGAGGGACAATCCCCTGATAGCTACTGGGCAACGAAACTAATTGACCTTTGGCCCCAACTAGCTGAATTTGCCCCTTGATGGCTGCTGCCAACGCCGGGCCAGTCTAGTCGTCGTGCATCGGAGCGCGTGTAGTGCCATCCCATTGCAGGCTGTATTGCACTCCGCGGAGGACACTTTCAGGTCTCCCAAAGTGGTGTGTTGAGACTTTTGTGAAAATGGGTGCAGGGCAGATTACGGGCCTGGATAGCTGCTCCAGGCCCCTAATCCCAGTTCCTGACACAACTCATGCTGACTGCCATCCGCCATGATGGGTCATGCCCCAAACACTCTGCCATGTGCCACTTTCAGGTCTCCTCACACACTGCTGGTGTGTTCCATTTTTTGTCATAGGGTGCTGGCAGATTACGGGCCTCCCATAGCTGCTGCCAGGCCCCTAATCTGCCATGGGCCCCTATATACCGCCGCCTCCCTCATGCTGCTGCCAAGTCCAGAGTCTCTCATGGGTCCCTGTACGGCCTCCCATTGCTGCTGTCTCCATCGCCACACTCTGCCATGTGCCACTTTCAGGTCTCCTCACACTGCTGGTGTGTGTTCCATTTTTTGACATAGGGTGCTGGCAGATTACGGGCCTCCCATAGCTGCTGCCAGGCCCCTAATCTGCCATGGGCCCCTATATACCGCCTCCTCATGCTGCTGCCAGGTCCAGAGTCTCTCATGGGTCCCTGTACGGCCTCCCATTGCTGCTGTCTCCATCGCCACACTCTGCTGCATGTGCCACTTTCAGGTCTCCTCACACACTCTGCTGGTGTGTGTTCCATTTTTTTGACATAGGGTGCTGGCAGATTACGGGCCTCCATATAGCTGCTGCCAGGCCCCTAATCTGCCATGGGCCCCCGTACCGCCTCCTCATGCTGCTGCCAGGTCCAGAAGTCTGTCATGGGTCCCTGTACGGCCTCCCATTTCCGCTGCTGTCTCCATCGCCACCTCTGCCTGCTCACTTGTCTGCCACACTCATGGTAGCTGGTCTTTCACATAGGGTGCAACAGATTACGGCCTCCCATGCTGCTGCCAGGCCCCTTGCCATGGGCCCCCTATATACCGCCTCCTCATGCTGCTGCCAAGTCCAGTTGTCATTTGGGTCCATAGGGTGCTGGCTCCATCGCCAATTACGCCATGTGCCACTTTCAGGTCTCCTCACATTGCTGCTGCGTGCAGGTCCAGATTAATCATGGGTGCTGGCAGATTACGGGCCTCCTCATAGCTGCTGCCAGGCCCCTAATCTGCATGGGCCCCTATATACCGCCTCCTCATGCTGCTGCCAGGTCCAGAGTCTGTCATGGGTCCCTGTACGGCCTCCCATTGCTGCTGTCTCCATCGCCACACTCTGCCATGTGCCACTTTCAGGTCTCCTCACACACTGCTGGTGTGTTGTTTTTTGACATAGGGTGCTGGCAGATTACCTGCCTATCCTCATAGCTGCTGCCAGGCCCCTAATCTGCCATGGGCCCCTATATACCGCCTCCTCATGCTGCTGCCAGGTCCAGAGTCTCTCATGGGTCCCTGTACGGCCTCCCATTGCTGCTGTCTCCATCGCCACACACTCTGCCATGTGCCACTTTCAGGTCTCCTCACACTGCTGGTGTGTTGAATTTTTTGACATAGGGTGCTGGCAGATTACGGGCCTCCCATAGCTGCTGCCAGGCCCCCCTAATCTGCCATGGGCCCTATATACCGCCTCCTCATGCTGCTGCCAAGTCCAGAGTCTGTCATGGGTCCCTGTACGGCCTCCCATTGCTGCTGTCTCCATCGCCACACTCTGCCATGTGCCACTTTCAGGTCTCCTCACACACTGCTGGTGTGTTCAATTTTTTGACATAGGGTGCTGGCAGATTACGGGCCTCCCATAGCTGCTGCCAGGCCCCTAATCTGCCATGGGCCCCTATATACCGCCTCCTCATGCTGCTGCCAAGTCCAGAGTCTGTCATGGGTCCCTGTACGGCCTCCCATTGCTGCTGTCTCCATCGCCACACTCTGCCATGTGCCACTTTCAGGTCTCCTCACACTGCTGGTGGTGTGTTGAATTTTTTTGACATAGGGTGCTGGCAGATTACGGGCCTCCCATAGCTGCTGCCAGGCCCCTAATCTGCCATGGGCCCCTATATATACGCCTCCTCATGCTGCTGCCAAGTCCAGAGTCTGTCATGGGTCCCTGTACGGCCTCCCATTGCTGCTGTCTCCATCGCCACACTCTGCCATGTGCCACTTTCAGGTCTCCTCACACACTGCTGGTGTGTTGAATTTTTTGACATAGGGTGCTGGCAGATTACGGGCCTCCCATAGCTGCTGCCAGGCCCCTAATCTGCCATGGGCCCCTATATACCGCCTCCTCATGCTGCTGCCAAGTCCAGAGTCTGTCATGGGTCCCTGTACGGCCTCCCATTGCTGCTGTCTCCATCGCCACACTCTGCCATGTGCCACTTTCAGGTCTCCTCACACACTGCTGGTGTGTTGAATTTTTTGACATAGGGTGCTGGCAGATTACGGGCCTCCCATAGCTGCTGCCAGGCCCCTAATCTGCCATAGGCCCCTATATACCGCCTCCTCATGCTGCTGCCAAGTCCAGAGTCTGTCATGGGTCCCTGTACGGCCTCCCATTGCTGCTGTCTCATCGCCACACTCTGCCATGTGCCACTTTCAGGTCTCCTCACACTGCTGTGTGTGTTCAATTTTTTGACATAGGGTGCTGGCAGATTACGGGCCTCCCATAGCTGCTGCTGCAGGCCCCTAATCTGCCATGGGCCCCTATATACCGCCTCCTCATGCTGCTGCCAGGTCCAGAGTCTGTCATGGGTCCCTGTACGGCCTCCCATTGCTGCTGTCTCCATCGCCACACACTCTGCCATGTGCCACTTTCAGGTCTCCTCACACACTGCTGGTGTGTTTGAATTTTTTGACATAGGGTGCTGGCAGATTACGGGCCTCCCATAGCTGCTGCCAGGCCCCTAATCTGCCATGGGCCCCTATACCGACTCCTCATGCTGTGACGTTGCAACAAGGTGGAATTCAACCCTACATATGTTAGACCGCCTTTACGAACAGCAAAAGGCCATCACAGATTTCCTGATGTTAAAAGCGGATAAAGGTACTCCCTGTGTAACTTAGATGTCAGCCATTGGCAGCTCATGCGTGACACCTGCGCTTGCTCAGGCCCTTTGAGGAGGCCACGCTATTCGTGAGTCGGCAGGACTATGGGATGAACGACGTCATTCCTCTGTTGCACGTCCTGGAACAAATGCTGTTAACAATGGCTGGTCAGGGTGCGGTAGACGTGGCGCACAGATCTCAACGCCACATGACCCCTGTGGGGGCAGGACAGGAAGAAGAGGAGGAGGTAGAGAGGAGGACATTGGTGCTCAGGAATTATTGAGTGAAATGGGTGGTTTTTCCACTCAGCGGACAGGAGTGGAGGAGCAGGAGCATCTGGTAGAGGAGGAGGAGGAGGAGACAGAGGACCCAGACGCACCGTGGCAGTATGCTGTGGAGATGGAGGCAGGGAGTCCCTCGCATTCCTTGGCACAAATGGCCCATAGCATGCTCGCTTGCTTGCGTAGCGACAGCCGAATAATAACCATCAGACAGAGGGATGACTTTTGGCTGTCCACCTTGTTGGACCCTCGCTACCGTTCAAAAATGGTGGCCTTTTTTCACCTGCTGAGAGGGAGGCCAAAATAACGTACTATAAAAACCACCTATGTAGTCAGCTGGTCTCTGCCTGTCTGCGCCAACGTCCATCCTCAGACACTGTGGGCCCTGTGCGCTCGCGTTCCGCTGCCATGGCAGCAGGGGAGGGGTGGGGGTGGTAGGAGCAGTGGCAGCTCCACCAGCAGCGGCTGCCTCAGTCTGCAGTCGATGATGAGTAGCTTTCTTCACCAGCGCAGTGAGGAAAACTACTAACCAGCCGCAGCAGCAGCAGCAGCATCAGGTGGACCTGGAGCAGGACCTCAAACAACAGGCTTGGGCCTACTTGGACAGCACCCTGCCAACCGAGGTAGACAATCCCCTTGACTACTGGGCAACGAAACTTGACCTTTGGCCCCAACTAGCTGAATTTGCCCTTGAAAGGCTGTCATGCCCGGCCAGTAGCGTGGCATCGGAGCGCGCGCGTGTTTAGTGCGGCAGGAGGTATTGCACTCCGCGGAGGACACGACTGTCCACCCAAAGTGTGGAGAGACTCACGTTTGTGAAAATGAATCAGGCGTGGATTAGTCTGGATTTCAAACCACCAGTTCCTGACACAACTGACTAAATCCGCCATGAATCATGCCCCAAACATGTGCCACTTTCAGGTCTCCTCACACTGCTGGTGTGTTCCATTTTTTGTCATAGGGTGCTGGCAGATTACGGGCCTCCCATTAGCTGCTGCCAGGCCCCTAATCTGCCATGGGCCCCTATACCGCCTCCTCATGCTGCTGCCAAGTCCAGAGTCTCTCATGGGTCCCTGTACGGCCTCCCATTGCTGCTGTCTCCATCGCCACACTCTGCCATGTGCCACTTTCAGGTCTCCTCACACTGCTGGTGTGTGTTCCATTTTTTGTCATAGGGTGCTGGCAGATTACGGGCCTCCCATAGCTGCTGCCAGGCCCCTAATCTGCCATGGGCCCCTATACCGCCTCCTCATGCTGCTGCCAGGTCCAGAGTCTCTCATGGGTCCCTGTACAGCCTCCCATTGCTGCTGTCTCCATCGCCACACTCTGCCATGTGCCACTTTCAGGTCTCCTCACACTGCTGGTGGGTTCCATTTTTTGTCATAGGGTGCTGGCAGATTACGGGCCTCCCATAGCTGCTGCCAGGCCCCTAATCTGCCATGGGCCCCCGTACCGACTCCTCATGCTGCTGCCAGGCCCGTAATCTGTCATGGGCCCCTGTTGTCGCTTGTTGGCATATTCCGCTCGTTCAGATGCTCCTTCTCCTGCTACTCCTCTTCACGGATTCCGTCAGCAGTCTTTCTTGGAATCCGTTTCCAAGAGACAACAGTTTGCGAGCACGCACCCGACGGTGCAGAAGCTGAACGTCCTCCTGTCCAAGTTGCTGCTGCCAGGCTCGTAATCTGTCATGCGCCCCTGTACCGCCTCCTCATGCTGCTGCCAGGTCCAGAGTGTGTCATGGGCCCCGTACAGACTCCTCATGCTGCTGCCAGGCCCGTAATCTGTCATGGGCCCCTGTACCGCCTCCCCATGCTGCTGCCAGGTCCAGAGTGTGTCATGGGTCCCTGTACGGCCTCCCATTGCTGCTGCCAGGCCCGTAATCTGCCATGGGCCCCCGTACCCTCTCCTCATGCTGCTGCCAGGCCCGTAATCTGTCATGGGCCCCTGTACCGCCTCCTCATGCTGCTGCCAGGTCCAGAGTGTGTCATGGGTCCCTGTACGGCCTCCCATTGCTGCTGTCTCTATCGCCACACTCTGCCATGTGCCACTTTCAGGTCTCCTCACACTGCTGGTGGTTTCCATTTTTGTCATAGGGTGCTGTATGGCCTCCCATTGCTGCTGCCTCCACCGCCACACTGTGGCTCCACACTCTGGTTTTGGCCCCGTGACTGCCCAAATGAGTGAAGTGTGCGGTGATTCTAAGATCGACGGCACTCATCTGCATGTCATACTGACTGACAGTATTATTTCTCTTCCCAGCAGACTCCAAGGGCATTTAAATTAAAGGTACAGTGTTCTGCACTAATATTAAGTCTCTCTGAAGCCTAGAAACACCCTTTTTTAAGTTAAATTCACAGCGAATATATTCGACTCGAATCAAAATTTTTCCACGAATTCGCCGAATCAGTCGAATCGAATTTTTGAATACTTCGCTCATCTCTAATTCCAACACAAGAACCGGTCCAGGATTATCCAACAAAATATATATTACCCAGAATTTACTGGTCACCTGACCAAAATAAAGAGAGTTCTGATTGGCTGCTATAGATTACTGAGCTTTTTACTTTAGTTTTGATCATTGCACTTGTTTATAGTAGAAGTCTTTTAGTGTTCAAAGAACTCTGAAAGCTGAAGAAATAAGACACTTGATTCAATGTTCTCTGTTACTCCATAAAGAACCTCATACTTCTGGAATGACTCAGATTATTTCCAGTTGTTATAAATGTGCATTTCAATATTTTGTTCTCTTCTGTAACCTCTTCAAGGCCAGAAGGATGATTTGATAATTGTAGCAACACATTTTCCAACCCACCAAGGAAACGAACATGTTAATGACCAGCAGGCTGTTGCATATAACTATTAAATGTTCCTTGCCACCCAGCATATGTTTATTTCTCTCTCCCCATGAAACAATCTGCACTTACACTTAAACTGCGTGAACGTCAACCTGTGCTAAATGAAACTGAAAATAAATATATTAGGCTCTGCTGAGCTTTACGACTGGTTTATGTTGATAATTTTAAAATCAAGTCTTTTTGCCAGAGGGAAAGACAGCGGGTTAGAACCTAAAAAAACTGGAAAATGTGCAAATAAAAACAAAATCCTTTGTTTTTCATTTTATTACTAAAATCACATTCAAAACATTACATTTAATTTCGAGAAAATAGAGGTACAATAAAATAAACATAGATATTATAGCTGTGCATTTACATGAGACAATTATGCTTATTTGA